CCGACGGCATCTGAATCATCGATCGCCGGAAGCTCATGCGCGGGGACGACGACACGGACGACGACATGTGCGGGTGACTGCTCTTGCGCCCAAGATCGTAGCGCGACGGCCGGTGGTCTTCGTTGCTACTGCGACTCGTCGTCGCCAGGCTCCCGCGGTCCTCGACAATAGCAGCGTGCTCTTTGTGTGGCTTGGGCGTCTCGGTGAAGGCGCAGAGAAGGCAGCTGCGTGTCGAGTCGAGACGCGTCGACTTTTGCGCCATGCCCTCCGACTCGATTGTCACGAACGTCGAGCACTCGTTGCAAATCGAGTGGCCACAGAGACGGCAATGGTGTCGGCGACGAAGCAAGTGGAAGAGGTTGAAACCTTTCTTGCAGAGGTGGCACTTGCTCTCTTGGGTCCAGCGCGACCGCGGCACGAGCTTGAGGTTCACAGACCGGCACTGCGTTGTGAGGTTCGAGAGCGCCGTCACGACTGCGTGCTCCATCCAGTGCCGCAGCGGCACGTTGCTCGGGTCCACCTGCGTGAGCTCGAGCGTAAACGTGACGCGGCAGACGTTTTCGTCGAGGTCGGAGCTTTCGACCGTGAAGCCGGAGCGCGAGATGTACCGCCGATAGCACTGTGTGTGGCGCGCCTTGAAGGGCAAAAAGTTTTTGGACGGCACCGAGTGCCATACGAGCGAGCCGTGGGTCACGGCGGAGACGACGTCGCTCGTCGGAACGGCGGCGCCTCGCAGCGTCTCGTAGCGGGTGGCGCACGACAGAAACACCATGTCGTGCCGGACCGAGTCCGACGTCTGCTCGCCGTAGAGCGACATCCAGTGGACGTTTGTGGCGCCGGCGACGCCAATCGTAGCGCCTTCGTAGAAAAGGCCTGGTAGCACTTGGCGCATCGTAGCTTCGAACGCGTCCGTCGTGCCCATGTCGAAGAGGTCCATGATGCTGTCGACCGAGCCCGAGACGGACGTCGCGCCGTGCAGAAGCACCGCGTCGTTGGTCCGGCGCTCGTAAATCTTGATGCCGCGCGCTTCATGCGTGTACACGAGGGTCGTGTCGAGATGCGTCGTGTTGGCGGCCAAGAGGTCCTGGCCGCGACGCTCTGCGCCCAGCACGAGCTCTTCGTCGAGGTGGACTGGGTCCTTCGAGAGCCGTCGCACGCTGCGCTTAAAGAGCTTGTGGTCGTCCGAGTCTTTGGCATCGACCTGGCCACGCAGGTCCTGGAAGCTCCACGTCTGCGTCGAAGACACTTGCGCCGACACGAGCATCCTTTGTGTTGCAGGTGGAGTGATGAGCAATGAGCCTCCGTAATCAGCCAAAAAGCAGCTTCAACGAACGGCCGTGGTACGTCAAGCATACTGAACGTCATACGACGGCCAGGTGGTCGCGGCGAACACGCAACTTTTAGAAAGTGCAGTCTCGCGGGACTGGTTCAAGCCGTCCCTTGGTCGCAGGAAATAGCACACCGACAAACGTTGTCGTCGCTTGCGGTGGTGCGTTGCGCTGCCCAAGAAGATTCTCTGATCGAGAAGTCGGTCCCACGACCGTGGTCGCTGAAAATTCACACCTTTTCACGTCAAACGTCGCTGTGATTGGCTCGAAGTGGGTCACACTCCTCGGTGGGAAACTCGGAATCAAAATGACGGTCGACCAGCTGCGCGCGAACAGCGGCAATTGCGTGGGAAGATACATCCTCGACGACTTCGCGAAGACGACGCAACCATCAGCGAGGTTGATCGGGAGGCGTCTAATACCGGTAGTAAGGTGACGGGTACGTGCACCTGTGAACGACCAAGCGACGGATCAATATTTCGCGCGCCAAGCAACGAGCCAGACCAGGAACACCGATCGATTCGCGAAAGGAGCTCGACAAAGCCGCGTTGAAGTGGCAGGTCTCGACGAGGTACTACTTCAAGTAAGCACACCGCTGGTGCACGGCTTGCATCGCGGACCATTGTCTTCGCACCCATCCCAGGTAGCTCGCCAGGCTACGTGTACTCGGAAACGCGCCATGCAACAATAGGCGGGGTCAACCTCCTTTCGAGCGAGATGAAGCCCGGGAACCGCCATGAACTTGCCAATCACCGCAGCTGCCTCGTATTGCTATGACACAAAGTGAGAATTGTGCGAGAAAAACGACCGCCAACATTGACCATGTGGGTGCGTGGATAGTCCACCAGGAGGCACGCTCCGCAATCGCACAAAGATGGATTGCTGGAGAAGCCCGCATCATCGGAAGCTGCTGCTCCGACAACTCTCGCTCGTTGATATTTATCTATACCTTGACCATTTAAAAGTCCACACCAAAGCATAAGCCCAGGCAGTAGTAGAGGCAATTCGATCCAACTTGCATTGCTTTGGTGGCCTGCTACAATTCTCTCGTGTCGTCCGCCCCAGCCTGGTCGTCGCTTCAACGTCAAGCGCGTAAAGAGTGATGGTGAATCGAACTTTATCGAGCACCACCCGCAAAGTACGATTATGCCTAGGGAACGAGCCAATCGAAATCCTCGTAACTGTTGTTGAACTGAGTTATATTACATGCAATTATTAAGATATGGTGGACTTCCTAATGCGCTCGTGAGGCCTGGCCGGTGCGTCAGCGAGGAGCGTTAGTGGTCGTGATTCGAGATTGTGCGAGGGGCCAGGTAGCGTGCACACCAAGGGTCTTCGCGGAGAGCGGCCAGCGACGCGTCAAGAGATGGCACCACAGCGCGACGAGCCAAGTGCCGGATGTGCAGTCTTGCGATAGTAG